CAGGGAATTGGAGCTTTATGAGTTTCCGTTGCACTACTGCCTTTTTTGATTTTTCTTTCAGGTCTGACCTGCCGGGCTAGCAGCAGGCCTAGCCACTGCCTGCCCGCAGGGGCTTTGCTGAGCTGCTGTGGGCTCCGCCCAGCTGCCCTGAGCTCTTCCCTGTAGTCCTTTTTGTATGGGCATAGTTAGCACTGTCTCGGCAATGGTGGCCCCGCCTCTGTTATGGCGGACTCTCTCTGTTGTGGCAGGTTGCCTCGGCAACGGCGGGTTGCCTCGGCAACGGCAGCCTGCCTCCGTAGTGGTGGAGAGTCTCAGTAATGGCGGAAGCCCCTCCCCCACGGAGCCGGACTGTCCCGGTTCAGCTGTGCTTGGTTTGGAGGGCTCAACCCAGAGGGTTTCCAATTACTGTTTTTGTTTTCCTTGTTGTTGGGGGTGGAGGGGTGGGACCAACCAAGCCTGATCACCTGGCTCCCTGACTCAGAGTCTTTTCTTTTTTTTTTTTTTTTTTTTGAGACGGAGTTTCGCTCTTGTTACCCAGGCTGGAGTGCAATGGCGCGATCTCGGCTCACCGCAACCTCCGCCTCCTGGGTTCAGGCAATTCTCCTTCCTCAGCCTCCTGAGTAGCTGGGAGTCTTTTCTTTTAAGTTGAACGACCCCGCGTTCGGGTCGCCTGCTGAAAAGGCGCCGGGATCTCCCGCGCTGCGACGAGTCGGCTCGAACTGCGGCGCCGGCTCCTGGCGGATTTTTTGCCTAGGAATCTCCTGGCCTGACTCGCTATTTCAGATGAATGGGCAACTCTGCCATCTCAGGGCTCTGCTCGCCAGCTAAGAGGGCTCCCAGACCAGTGGCTTTTGTACGGAGAACGGCAGCAACAGGGAGTGGTCACCGCAGCCGCGCGGGCGGAGTCAGCCCCACAGGGGCCAAAACAGCCGCACCGGCTGGGACTGCGACGCTGGCGACCCCTCTGCCTGGGTATCTCCTGGTCTGTGGGCAATAAGAGTTCGTCTGGAAATGCGGCGTCCACTCACCCTCTGCACCTTCACTGGGAGCTGAAGTCCTGAGCTGTTCTTAGGCGGCCATCTTCCCAGCATTCCCGTAAAATTTAATTTTTAAAAACTTTTATCTTCTGTACAGAATATAGGCAGAAGCCCATTGGATGAAGTAGTAAGTCCTACCTTTTTTTTTTTTTTTTCTAATGGCTCTTTTGCATAAAATCTTCTATTTACTTGAGTAATTCTCACCCCACAAGTTACCTTTGGGAAGGGTAACGTCACACATTCAGAGAAGACCTGGGCTAAGCATGGTGTTTCACTCCTGTAATGCCAACGCTTTGGGAGGTTGAGGCAGGTGGATCACTTGAGCCCAGTAGTAGGAGACCGGCCTGAGCAACATGGCGAAACTCTGTCTTTACAAAATACAAAAAAATTAGCCAGAAATGGTGGCATGCCCTTATAGTCCTAGATACTCAGAAGGCTGAGGTAAGAGGATCCTGTTAGCCCAGGAGGTCAAGGCTGCAGTGAGCCATGATCACACCACTGCACTCCAGCATAGGTGACAGAGCGGGACCCTGTCTCAAAAAAAAATCCGGAGTAAGACCTGATATATGGGCTTTTGTGGTTTTAATAAAGAGAAATTGCCTGCTTTTATTAGTTAAATATAGAAGCGAGTATATACCCTTCTCAACCACAGCCCTGCCATTTTTAAATCTGAAGACATCCAGCCTCCCTGGGCCATCCTACATGAAGTAGGATTCACTATTATATCATAGCCTGTGGCCCAGAAGATAAACAAAGAATAATACTTTGGCTTCCCCTTTAACTGTATGGTGAAGGGTAGGAGTAGGGTGGGGAAAGTCCAAAAGGAAAAGAGAGGAGATCAAACAGTTAAGTGCCACAAATTATCTCTCATCTAATGAGTTTGCTCAGAACCATTCCTAACTCATGTAAACCAGTCATCAAGAGAAAAAGAGAGGAGTGAGATCCAGACTGTTAAGTACCACAAATTATCTCCCATATAATGAGTTTACTCAGAACCATTCCTAACTCATGTAAACCAGTCATCAAGGTATGAGAGAGCAAGATCAATGAAGTTGTTACGGTGGTGAAGAACAGGGTAACATGTGAAATACAAACCTTAAAAAAATCTCTTGTGTTACCCCCATGTGTATTTCAAGAAACAGCTCTAGTATCACTTCTATAAAGCATTCTCTGACACACAAACACACCCTTGCCGATCTTCTCACATTACCAATTTCCTAGTATCCAGCTCTACTCAAATATGGTAAGGCTCCTGTCTTATATTCTTATTTGTGTGCTTCTCTACCCTACTAAGCATGTTCCTTGAAGGTGTGGACTTACTTTTATATCTACAATGCTTGGCACATAAGAGGCACTCCAAGAAGAGTAGATCTTGAACCTGTTAACAGTACTCTTACTATTCACTGTGGAAGAATCAGAATACATGGGCTGCATGTATTCTGATGATTCAAAATCAACCTGTAGTTTACAACAGCTGGTAGTCAGAGGCCTAGGCCCTAGGCTCCACAGTCAGATTTAATAGATGGCATTGCTTTTTATTAGTTTGACCGATTTAGACATTTCACCGACATTAGCAAATATATGATTAGGGTATTCATTAAATTTTAGCTGCATGATTTCATTATAGCAGTTTTTTCTCTAAAGGACTGCTATGGTTAATGATCTGTCAACATTTCCATTATAATCATCATTGTAAAGAATCATAATTTTGCTGTTTCAGCGATCCCTATTTGAAAGTCGGCAGTTTCTAAGCACAGAATTAGGTTTTGAAAATGTATTAGGCTGAATGTTAAATGGAATTGGCCTTTACTTTTCTCATTTTTGTGTTTTGGAACACTGAGGATCTTTCCACACTCTGCTCCCAGTACCCTGAATCATAATCACATTTGCTCTTGCTTGAAAGTGAATAGAGCTTAAATCATCCTTCCTGTTCCTAAGTTCCAGAGTATTGTATATTCCTGTGCCCTGTGTTCAGTCACATCCCACTTACTACTGAGCCTTGTATAGAAAAATGTGTATCAGTAAACCCTTTTAGATCTGAAACTTGGTAGTTGATATAATTATAGAAGTAAATTGTTATTGTTGTTGTTTTTCTTTCCAAGATGGAGTCTCGCTCTGTCGCCCATGCTGGCATGCAGTGGTGCGATCTCAGCTCACTGCAACCTCTGTCTCCCTGGGTTCAAGTCATTATCCTGCTTCAGCCTCCTCAGTAGCTGGGATCACAGGCATGCACCAATATGCCCAGCTAATTTTGTACTTTTAGTAGAGACAGGGTTTCACTGTGTTGGCCAGGCTGGTCTCAAACTCCTGACCTCAAGTGATCCTCTCACCTCAGTCTTCCAAAGTGCGGGGATTACAGGCATGAGCCACCATGTCTAGCCAGTAATTTTTTTTTTTTTTTTTTGAGACGGAGTCTTACTCTGTTTCGAGGCTGGAGTGCAGTCACGGGATCTTGGCTCGCTGCAACCTCTGACTCCCTGGTTCAAGTGATTCTCCTGCCTCAGCCTCCCAGGTAGCTGGGATTATAGGCATGTGCCACCATGCCCAGCTAATTTTTGTATTTTTAGTAGAGACAGGGTCTCACCATGTTGGCCAGGATGGTCTCGAGCTCCTGACCTTGTGATCCCCCTGCCTTGGCCTCCCAAAGTGCTGGGATTATAGGCATGAGCCACTGCACCTGGCTAATAAAATTAATACTGCTTTTGACCCAGGCTGCATGTATTTTTTCAAATGGAAATTATGATCATCTTTATGCAGAATACTTGAAGAGTCTATATACTCCCAGACTGTACCAGGAATTTTAATTTGTAGTTTACAAGCCTTAGTTTTTGTTTTGTTGTTGTTGTTGTTGTTAATAGGTTTAAATTAACACTATCCCTGAACTCTGAATTTATCATCAAAGACTAAAAAATTTTACGTGGTCAAATTAAGGAATTTTGTTGCTTGGCTACCTTGAACCTGAGAAATAGTCAAGGATGTTCCAAGTTTTACCTTTTACTGTTTTCCTCCAATTATTTGTTTAAGAACTAATATAACAACAAAACCATTGCTGTCTTTGCATTAATACCTACAAGTTTAAAAAGAAAGTTTGAAATCACTTTCCATCAATTTTTTAAATAAATTTTGAGTGCCTAGGGACTAGCATTATGATGTCACTTCAACAGAGTAGCTGCTTAATAAATGTTTAGTTTTTAACATCTACTAGGGAGGTGTTCAGCACTGTTAGTACAAAGATAAATTAGTCCTAGAGTCTACCTTTGATGTGCTCATAACCTGTTAGTTTCTATGAGCTTAATTTCAGTGATCTATTTAGTATGTTGAATTCATGGTTAAATATATTGAATATGACTTGTGTCAGTTTATGGGGTCATAGAAGATAAAAGTGTATTCTGTAATAGTTCTCAAGATACGGCTGGGCGCGGTGTAATCCTAGCACTTTGGGAGGCTTAGGTGGGTGGATCGCCTGAGGTCAGGAATTCGAGATCAGCCTGGCCAACATGACAAAACCTCATCTCTGAAAAAAAAATAGTTCTCAGGATACGTAATTATAACAGGTTTTGTTGTTGTTGTTGTTGTTGTTGTTTTTGAGACAAAGTTTCACTCTTGTTGCGCAGGCTGGAATGCAATGGCTTGATCTCGGCTTACTGCAACCTCCGCCTCCCAGGTTCAAGCCATTTTCCTGCCTCAGCCTCCCAAGTAGCTGGGATTACAGGCATGTGCCACCATGCCCAGCTAACTTTTTTATATTTTTAGTGGAGACGGGGTTTCTCCATGTTAGTCAGGCTGGTCTCGAACTCCCGACCTCAGGTGATCCGCCCACCTCGGCCTCCCAGAGTATTGGGATTACAGGCGTGAGCCACTGCGCCTGGCCAGGTTGCTTTTTATGGAATTATGCCTATTTTCTGTCATGGCGTTTCTCTATTGTTCAACTTTATCATTTTTATTTACGGATTATCATGGTAGGTCTTCTGGGAACTGGCTTCCAACTATTTGGCTATGAAGAAAAACTGCAGTCCAATCCTTTACAGCATCTCTTTGAAGTAAGTTGGCAATAAGACATTTCAAATTGTTTTCAAAATTCTATGCAGCTTGGTAACATAGTTTTAATCCCAAAGGTTATTTATTTATTTATTTATTTAGAGACAGGGTCTGGTTCTGTTACCAAGGCTGCAGTGCAGTGACACAATCTCAGCTCCCTGTAGCTTCTGCCTCCTAGGTTCAAGCGATTCTCATGCCTCAGCCTCCCAATTATTTGGGACTACAGGCGTGTGCCACCATACCCAGTATGTTTTTGTATTTTTAGTAGAGATGGGGTTTCGCCATGTTGGCCAGGCTGATCTTGAACTCCTGACCTCAGGTAATCCACCCACCTTTGCCTCCCAAAATGCTGGGATTATAGGAATGAGTCACCGCACCAACCTCCAGAGGTTTAAAAAATACGTTCTGTAAAACGGGAACCAAAACTTAATTGAAATTGTTGCTTTTGGCTGGTCACAGTGACTCACACCTGCATCCCAGCACTTTGGGAAGCCAAGGCAGAAGGATTGCTTGACACCAGGAGTTCAAGACCATTTTGGGCAACATAGTGAGACCCAGCCTCCATGAATTAATAAAATAGTAGCCAGGCACGGTTCCTGTGCCTGTGGTCCTGGTTACTTGGGAGACTGAGGCAGAAGGATTGCTTGACCCCGGGAGTTCAAGGCTACAGTGAACTGTGGTCACGATATGCACTACAGCCTGGGCAACAGAGCAAGACCCTGTCTCAGAAAGAAAGAAAATATTGCACTTATATTACTAGGTTATTCTTTTTGGTTCCTAATCTGAGATTTTTTTCAATGCTATTTTAGTTGATTTGGGACAGTATTTCTTCAGGTGTAGAATCTTTTTAGAATAAACATGGAAGATAATGATTCAACACAAATTTCTCAATTTTCTGTCAGTTAATATGTACTGCAGCTTTTTTCATGGTAATAACTATATATCAATTAGACTTGAAAAGTATGAATATTTTTGTTCTTTTTCTGGTGTGGGGCATGGCATGTGTATTTCTCTCTGAAATTGTGTGTGCTTTTTCCATTTATATCTTTCACCTCATTTTCCGGGCTTTTGTTCAGTGTGAATGCTCATCTACTCGATTTCACTTAGTCCCTTGGGTACTTTGCTGCTTTATCTTCAGTTCTTCCTGAAGTTTATTAATAAAGCCCTTCCTGTCCAAACAATCTCCAGGGATGTGTTTCCCTTCATTGTCCCTGTTGTTATCTCTGCTGTTGTCTGGGCCTCACAATGGAAATACAGATACGTTGTCAGCCATGTTGGTGACAGATCAGAGGATCAAACTAAAGATGTTCTACCTATGTTTGAGAAAGAGCACTTGTGAAAATAATGCTTGACTTCTCCAGCTAAAGCCACGGTGTGCTTCATCGTTTTCCTTTCTGTTACATGATTTTCCCCTGCAGCTTGCTTTGCAGTTAAATTGAACAAAAACATATTCTAGTTCTAAAAGGCCTTCAAAGGTTTGCCATTTTTTCCTGAGTCCATGCCTTTACTGCACTCTAAAATGACTGCATTTTGATTTTTCATGTTAACCAAAAGATTTCATCTCTTTCCCATTAAGAGTTTTATTGATAGGAATTTAAAAATTAATAATTCTTTATGGTTGTCTATAAGTAAAGCATGTTCCCTTAGTGCCTGGAGTTTTTACTATATTTATTTATTTATTTTTACATTTGAGTAATGTTACCTCAAGCTTAACAACCTTCATGAGGTCCAGGCCCACATAGACACCCTATGATACCAAAAATACAAATACCTGCTTGGAGACCTTGTATCATTGATTGCAGCATAGAGTGCAGCATGACATGTGAGAGTTATTTTTTTAATGTTATATTTCTTCTGCCCCACTTCAAAAGTTTTTATGTAATTCTGCAAATAGTAAACTTTTGTTTTCTATGACATTGTATTTTTATCTTTTAATATGTCTATATTTTTAAGACAGGGTCTATTCTGTTGCCCAGCCTGAAGTATAGTGACACAGTCACAGCTCACTGCAGCCTTGACCTCCGAGGCTCAGATGATTCTCCCACCTCAGCAACCCCAAGTAGCTGTGATTGCAGGCGCACACCAGCACACCCAACTAATTTTGTTATTATTTGCAGAGACAGGGTCTCCCTGTGTTGCCCAGCTGGTCTTGAACTCCTAGGCTCAAGCAGTCTTCCACCTCAACCTCCCAAAGTGCTGGGATTATAGGTGTGAGCTATCATACCCAGCCTATTTTTTAAATTGCGATAGTGTCTTGCTGTGTTGTCCAGGCCAGTCTCAAACTCCTGGCTTCAGTTGATCCTCCCACCTCAACCTTCCAAAGTATTGGGATTACAGATGTGAGCCACTGTGCCTGGCCAAATGTAGGTATAGGTTTTCCAGGGTTTTTGTGGAGGTGAAGTCTCACTGTGTTGCCGAGGCTGTACAATATTTTAAATATTTCAGTAAAATCTGTTTTCAAGTTCCATGGAAACCTAAGCATGTATTTCTTTCTATGTAGTTTAATATAATTTCCTGCCTTTAGAGACTCAAAAATAGTGGGCTGGGCATGGTGGATTACACCTGTAGTCCCAGCACTTTGGGAGGTCAAGGCAGGTAAATCATCTGAGGTCAGGAGTTCAAGACCAGCTCAACCAACATGGAGAAACCCTGTCTCTACTAAAAATACAGAATGAGCTGAGCATGGTGGTGCATGCCTGTAATCCCAGCTACTCGGGAGGCTGAGACAGGAGAATTGCTTGAATCTGAGAGGCAGAGGTTGCAGTGAGCCAAGATCGCACCATTGCACTCCAACCTGTGCAGCAAGAACAAAACTCCATTTCAAAAAAAAAAAACTGGAAGGTCAACATCTATGTTAGAGGTTGTTTACTGGTGGGTACACATAAGGAAGGAATAAGGTCAACAGGGTACTTCTATGAATAATTAAAAAGTTGAATAATAATGGTGTTGTTTTCATTAGTATTCTTTTGCCCAATAGACTCACCAGCTACTGCATTTAAAGATAAAAGAAGGCAAGTCAGATACATGCACTTTGCTATTTGTAGTAGAAAACAAGACCATCAGAGTACTCACTTGTTCTTTTCCTTCCTTTGTAGGACAGAAAACATTCAAAGCCTAAAATGGCAGCCTCCAGGTTTATTATATCTTTATGCTAATTTTATAGACTCTGTTTGCATTTTAAAATTACATTTGCTACTTTGGATTACTTTCAAAAAAACTGTTAGCATAAGTGAGGAATTTTTTGTTAACTTTAAGCAAATATTAATAAATGATGTTACTCTGCTCCTAAAAGAAAATCTGAAAGTCAACAACTGAATTTATTTACTAACTGAAAGATGCCTTTGCATGCCCTGCAGTGTCCCAGACAGCTTAGGTGGTAATACAGACTCTCTGCCCCATTGTTATTTCTGGTAACCAGAATAGGTGACCAGAAAGTCAGCTATAGTGATCCTAAGCTTGGAAAGTGTTTGGTTTATTGGTAAATAATATTGGCTGATTTCCTGGAAGAAAAACTTTAAGATGATCTGTATTTACTCTTTCTTATTTGTGAAAATCCGTTTTCTCAAAACTTTGGTCGGACACTTGTTTTTTTTTTTCTTTATCAAGCTGTAGTTAGCATTGAGCTCTTTGAGAGGAAGAATGATGTTTTCTTTATCTTCCTTATCCACAAACTTAAATACTATGACTTGGAGTAAATGTCTGAATGAATTTGCTCTTATAGTTCTTTCGTTCCCTTCTCTAATTATATTTAAATTGTGGAATATAAAATGTATTGTTTGTCCAGGAAATAATTAACTGTTGTAGAATACACTAATTACCATTTGTCAGAATTTAACTTAGTTTGTTAACACAGTTTACTACAGAGGAAACCAAGGGCCAAACCCTGGATTCTGGCACAGGTATGCTGGCTCTTGAGTGTTCTATGGAGTGAATGCCCCCACACCTGCACTGTAGAATGCCTTTATGAGCCATTGATTTCCACTGGTTTAATTGTGTACCTAGCATTTTTGTTTCTTTCATCCCCTGAGTTGCTATACCAGGTATACAATTAGTAGTTTCGTTCTAGCACTTTCAACCTTCTGGCATATTTGTTTTAAATTTGGCTTAGGCCATCCAGTAGCAGATTTTATGTCCTGCCCTCCTTTAAATTGTACTGTGATTAGTATTCTCTAAATTATACTATAATCAGTATCAGTATATTAAGTTTCTCAGCCAGGTTGGAAATGATATTATTTGATAATTTCAGAATTTCTTTGATGAAAATATATAACACCCACAGTCATTTACTGCATTTCCGTTTTGGTGCATATGCTTTACTACTGGTTTTTCTCTGTACCTAATAGCATTCTTTTCCCATGACATCTGGTTGTTTTGTACATGGACTTAGGACTTTTGTTGGACAGCATTTGAAATTTTTTCTTTAATTATTCTATTTTTTTGGGGGGGTCACAAAACAGGGAAGTAGTTTGGTTATAGTTCCCTCTTCCCTTGTGAATTGGCTGTTAAATAGCTAATATATTTTTTACTTAGAATTCATGTTAAGTCATTCAGGAAAACATTTGCAGTAAGCTTTGGACAATATATTAAAAAAAAAACCTTTCCACTTATATTGAAAAGTAATTTTTTTTTTCCATGACAGAGTCTTGCTCTGTCACCCAGCTTGGAATGCAGTGACATGATCTTGGCTCATTGCAACCTCCACCTTCCAGGTTCAGGTGATTCTCCTGCCTTAGCCTCCCAAGTAGCTGGGATTACAGGTGTGTGCCACCACACCCAGCTAATTTTTTGGTATTTTTGGCCAGAAACAGGGTTTCATCATGTTGGTCAGGCTGGTTTCAAACTCCTGACCTTGTGATCTGCCCACCTTGGCCTCCCGAAATGCTGAGATTACAGACGTGAGCTACTGTGCCCAGCCAAAAAGTAATTTCTTATGGTAAAAGTTAACAAGTATTAAATCTGAATAATGGATATGCGGGTGTCATTTACTTTTACCTATTTTAAT